CGTGGGGAGAAGGTGCAGGAGAAAGCCACTCCAACCACCCACCAAAACACAGCGTAAGAAAGTATTTACGAGGTACTTATGTCTGGGCGGGCGGAGACGGGGAGGGGCAGCCATCCTTTCGGGAGTCTGAAGGGCCCGTGGCCCCCAGCAGGCGGCAGCCCTGAAGCTGCCCAGCCTCCCGGGGCCCATGGACGGGGCCTCCTGAAGCCACATGCCCGAGGCCTGAGTCCAGCCCCCGCCTTGCCAAACCGGAGCGGGTGGACAGCTGACCCAGCTCGGACCACCTGAAGTCCCTCAAGATTTGGAATTCAGTCGGTTGGTCGTCAATCAGTCCCTCCAAAGACCAGTGCTACGTGGTAAACTCGGGAGCAGCAGAAAGGCCGTATTTTGGCCACTCAGTGCATTTCCATTTCTGCAGAAACAGAAGAATGGACGGTGCGTGTGCACACACACACACACACACGCACGGCAGGAGGGGGGATCGTGGAGATGGCCACCAATGCTGGCTCATCCCCTTCCTAAGGCCTGAGACAGGCCTGCAGGCTCCAAAGACCTCATAGCCTCCTTGCAGAAACTGCCCAAGTAGACGTCTGTCCCTGTGACTCAGGAGTCCTAATGCACACTGGGTACAGCCTTCTTCCCCAATTGTACAATTATTATTAGTTTGCTAGAAAGAGGGTCTAAGTTATTAAATTTCCCACTTTCCTGAAATAGGAAAAGAATTTCCTACAGTATAATCATTACAGTAACTTGCAAAACAACCAAAAAAAAAAAAAAGTGCCTTAACCGTTGACTAGAGAGAAACTCTTAAACTGGAACAAAGCATTCTTACTTCCAGATTCTCCCTCTGATACTCCTGGGCGGCCCTCTCCTCGGACAGCCCGCAGCAGCCGTACTCCAGCGGCGTGAACACCACGGTCGGAACGTTCACGTAGTCACACTGGAAGACAAACAGGTCACAGTCTCGCACCTCAAGACGCTCTGACAGTGAAGATCCACACTGTGCACACGTGTGAACAGAGAGCACAGCTGCCGTCCAGTGAGCACCTGTCACCTCTCAGGGGACCCAGTTACACTGAGCGCACAGCGACCTGGCTCCAGGGCAGGGGCTACGCACGGGCCAGTGATGGAGGCCAGTTCCCAGGACACTGGGCCACCCCAGCCTTGTCACATGTCACGTGACTGCACCCCTGTGGGGGTGAGCACTGCTGGGTGGGGTGACTGGCCCGGACCACCGGGGGGGATGGCCACGCACGTGGGGACTATCACACCACGGGCCAGGATCTCACAAGGCCGAGGCTACAACCAGACCCCTTAGGGCCCTCACAGCCTGAGACGGCCCGAGAGGCCGACGCGGGAAGACTGCACAGTGGGAGCCCGGGCGTCCGCAGGGGGAGGCGAGCATGAGCACAGGGAGCATTCCTGCCCGGGGGGAGGGGGTGTCCCGGGGGAGGGCGGGCAGCAGGGACGGCCAGAGGGGAAGGCCACTGTTCTGCCTGCTCCCAGAGCCCCTCAAAGGGCACCTGCCCGCAGCATGCATGTCCCCCAGCCCCGCCAACGAGTACAGGCGACTAGGTCAGGGAGACCGCCAACCCAAAGAAAGTAAGAAGCTGGCCAGAAGTCTGAAAGGTGAGCTCTGTCGGTGACCGTCTGTCTTTTGCAGGATATGCCCCAGAGGCCAGGGGAGAAGCCCCGAGGTGCTGAAGCCCCCGGGCGAGGCGCCGGGCCCAGAGCAGCAGTGAGACCCCAGCCCCAGCCAAGCATTTGTTTCCTTTCCCAGCCCTGCCGCTGTGTGGTTCTCCTTGACTTCTCTGAGGCGTCAGACGCTCGTCAGTCTGCTCATCAACCCCGCCCCCCATGGCTTACTAGGGACCCCCCACCCTCAGCAGGTGGTCTGTCTCCTGCTTCGTAGTAACTGAGGAAAGTCAACAGGAAATTCCTCAACTTCCCCTTTCACCTAAAGCACATTCTCCACGGCCTCCTCCACTTGAACGTGGCCGTGCCCCCGCCCCCGCAGCCTCCCCTTCAGCCCTGCTCCCTTGACTTCCCTCTCCACACACATCGCTCTGTCTTCCCATCCCTCCGGCCGTGGCAGCCACGGTGAACTTCTGAGGACCCCAGGCGACTGCAGTGCCTCTGCACACCCAAAAGGCTCCTGCCATGGGGCTAGGGTATCCTCCCTGCCCACTCACAGCCCCGGGTCCCACTAGGGCCAGCAGAGCCTCGGCCCCGGTCGCCCCCACCCACCAGTGCCACAGGTGCACGACCTCGCGGGGCCCCTGCATTGGAGACGTGCAGCACACACGTCCCCTACGAAGAGCATGCACCCAAAACAGCCCACCAAACTGGCTCGTGCAGAGCATCAGAGGAACCCAGAATGCGCAATGCTCTACCAGGAGAGTGGCCTGGGTCCATCAAAAATCACAGTCGTGAAAGAGAAAGCAAACAGACAAACGGGGGACAGAGGCAGGGGCTGCATCGGACTGAAGGGGACGCAGGCGGCAGAGGAGCCAGGCGAGCTGTGTGACTCAAACGCACACCCAGGACACAGACGCCGAGGGGCCAGCATCGCTGCGCCCACCTTCACCTTCTCAACACGTAAGTGCAGCTGTGGTCATGAGGGTGGCCATCCTGGTCCACTGGGGATCCGTCACTGACCTCTGCCACTTATTGCAAGAAGCTCAGCAAAAAACCAGCCTAAGCTTTGTAATTCACAGACTCAGAAATGGAGAGAGAGCAGACGGAGGCGCTGGAGAAGGCCCGAAGGTAACTGCGACTACTCCCCCTGCGGTCTGACGTCTTTCTAAATAAAAAGCTGCTGAGGGAAATGACGGTCTCCGGCAGGCCCCATGGCCTGGAGAGGCCACGCCGGCTCTTCCCTGTGCCACCACAGATCTTTCATGATCTGGAACCAGGTGAATTTTCCAGCATCATCCCTAATTGTATCCTGTTGCACCAACGGCTCTGCCTGCATACAGCCCAGCTGCTCGGAGCACCGAGGAGGGACATTCTCTGTGTGGGACGGGACACTGGCATCCTCCCCCACCACCCTCATCTGCTAACACCATGCAGGGCCACACGCTCCTGAGCTCCGTGACGCCCTCACCAGACAGAACCCACATGCAGAGAAAGGTGCTTTTCTTGTTGCCTTCTTGTGAGAAACGCCCTTGGCCTCAATTTTGAATTGTTGCTCCTTCCACAAAGCCCACCTCACATCTGTGATCGGAGACTACGAGGGCAGAGGAGATGCCAGAAATCACCTGCTCATACCACCGGCTTCATGGATGGCCATGCTGAGTTCACACGCTGAGCTGGCGAGGGCCAGGGGCCCCTCCCGCTCGGCGGCTGTCACCTCCCACTTGGGACACCTTTTCCAATCCCTGCAGCCTGGGAAGCCCCTGGCAACCCCTACATGTCACTCGGCACAACATCTTGCACAGACAGATACACACGAAATGTTTATCTAAACTATCAGTAAACAGTTCGTAACTATAAACGATTTATGGGAGAAAGCGTCCCTCGCAAAACAAGCCCACTGTGTCGTCGCCACTAATTTTCTTTAAGCTGCAACTGTGATTTAGACATTATCTCAAAAACAACAGGGAGAAATTCACCTTTTCTAAACGGCCGCCAAAAAGTCTTCGAGCCAGCAGCTTGCCCGCCTGCATGGCCACGGGGGTGAGCTGGGGCTTACCCTCCAGGACGTCCCCGACGGCGTAAACGTAGGGCACGGTGGTCTGTTCCATGTCGTTCACGGGAATTCTGCCGTTTCTATCGGATTTTGGATGGGAGAAATCCACTGTGACAGCACGCTGGGACACAACAGCACGCTGGGAGGAAGACTGGCTCCACAGAGGAGGCCCGGGAAGCTCCCGCCCCTACAGGACCGGGCGCTCTGGGCTGCGGCTGAGAAACCAGGCACACACTCTTGATGCTGGTGGTGCCTCCAGGATTCCCCAGACTCACACTTACAGCTTTTCTGCTCACAGACATAAAAATCATGCTGCATCACACAAAGTAGGTAAATATATTTCCACAATCATTTTTTAGTAAAAAATGCCTCAGATATTTAAGGAACACAAGAAGAGCTACCCATGGACTAAGGACAAACCTGGACTACAGAGCTGGCACTTATTATAAATAGACGTAAAGCAGTAAAATCCTGCACCTCAGGGAATAAGTGGGGCTTCCGAGAGGTGGTCTGTAGAAGTGCTTTCCTTTGTGCCACGATGGGCGACGACGCCATGGGTACTTACTTCTCATTGATTTTGACACCAATCTTCTCCAACCCGATTCCCTTCGTACAGGAGTCACGACCGATGGCCAGCAGAACCTGGACTTAGAGAGACCAAGAGCACAAGTTACCAGCATCACAGAGGAAACAGGGAGCATCACCGGGGACCCTCCAGGCATTCCAGGGATAATTACAGAACATTAAGAACACCCTATGCCAATAAACCTGACAGCTTAGATGAAACAGATTCCTCGAAAGGCACAATTTACCGAACTTACACATGTACAATTCTGAATAACCCTAGGTCATGGGCTGCACTGTGCCCCCTCCCCAAATTCACGTGTTGAAGTCTGAACCCCTGGGACCTCAGAATGTGACAGTGCTTGGAGATGGGGCCTTTACGGAGGCGGTCAAGGCACAACAAGGCTGCTGGGGTGGCCCCAATCGTTTGACTGGTGTCCTTACAGGAAGAGGAGACTGGGACACACAGCACTAACTGTGCGGTGGTCGTGGGAGCACGCAGGGAAGGTGGCCGTCTGCACGCCAGGACAGAGGCCTCAGAAGACACCACCTGCTGACACCGTGATCTCAGAGGCACGTGGCAGGCCCAGCGCACGTGGCTGCGGCAGCCCTAGCAGAACAGCGCCTCCTCGCTCATTACAGAGGCTCAACTCACAGGTTATCAGCTTCCCGCAAATTACCTCCAGACCCAGACGGCATCACTGGTAAAGTCTACAGAGCACTTAAGGAGTGACACCAAAGATTTCAGACTCCCGGGACGAGGGAGAAGGGGCAGGAGGCCAGCAAAGACACGGCCACAAGCAAACAGGGCATTAGAAGAAAGAAAGTCAGGTGCCAACCCTCCTTGTAAACACAGACGCAGGCTCTTTCACAAAATGGTAGCAGGTAAAACAGAGCAACATGAAAAAAGAGGATAACTGATGGTGACCAAGTGCTGTGTCCCAAAAAAGCAAGTCTGGTTTAACACACAAAAACCAACCAATGCAATTCATCATATTAACAGAACAAAGGAGAAAGCATCTAATCATCCCAACAGACGCGGAAAAAGCACTTGAGAAAACTGAGCCCCCTCTGAGGATTTTAGCAGCACCCTCAGCACACTCCAAACAAAAGAACACCCCCCAGCCCGGGAGACGCATCTGCGAAAACCCGCGAGCTTCGGCCCCAGCAGTGATGCGAGGTTCCCACCCAGGGACTGGGCGACGTGGAACTCTCCGGGATTCCACTCACCTCGGCTCTGGAGGCTTAGACAAAGCAAGAGAAGAAACAGAGCACGCAGACTGGAAAGAAGAAGCAACCCTGGGTTCCATGCAGAATAAGCCCTAAGAAGCCCCAATACCGTCAACGTATAAAAAGCACTTGTATTTCTACATACTGCCAACTAACCATTGAAAATGGAAGTTTTAAAATACCACTTACAATAGCTTAAAAATATGAAATGCTTAGAGATAAACTTCACAAAATACATGAAAGGCCTCCAGAGCAAAATGATAAAACATGGCTGAGAGAAGCTAAAGCACTTGTAAATAAATGGAAAGACACACGAGGTAGGTTCATGAACCGGGAAAGTCAGCACTGTTAAACGCCAGTTCTACCAAATTCATCCACAGCAGCAACTCAGTCCCAATCCCAATCCCAGCAGGTTTTACTTTTCTGGAAATTGGCAGCTGTTTTCAAAATTTACACGCAAAGTTGGAGAGCCCACCCACCCTGGTCTGAGACTTACCACGAAGCTTCAATGACAAAACGAGGTGGTGCTGGTCCCGGGTCAGAGGGACAGACAGACCCACGGTTAAAGGTTACAAGATTTCAACAAAGGCACCCCAGCAATTCGGTGGGGGAAGGGAGTCCTTTCAACAGACGCGCCTGGACACGAACACGGAGAGAGAGGTCCCAACGCCCACCGCACACTGCGAACAAGTTAGTTCAAGGTGAATTACAGACCGAGACACGGAAGATAAACTACGGAGCTTCAGGGAGAAAACACAGGAGAACATCTCCCCAACCTCTGGGTGGAGCACACAGACAGCATCGACCAATAAACCGAGCTTCAGAAAGACTGTAGAACTGCTGCTCGCCAGAAGTACCACAGGAAGTAAACAGGCAAGTCCCGCTGGGAGGAATGTTCACACACATCGCCTGAGAGGCGTGGCCCCACGACATGCACCACTCCTGCAGCGAGGGACACAAGCTCAACACTCAGCGGAGACGGGCCGGACGCTCCAAAAGACACTTCAAAGGGGAAATATTTCCGTGGCCAAACACACACGTAGTCATCAGGAAGATGCAGACAAACCTCTTTTTGTTAAAGGAAATTGAATATATCTTCATAGAACATTCTAGGCCCAGGTGTTTGCATCAGTGAATTCTATCAAAGAACTAATTCTAACATGACACGAATGCTTCCAGAGACTAGAAAAAGAAGGAACATATTCCAAGCTTCTTTCAAGAGTTAGAATAACCCTGACACCAAAATCTGAAAAGTTCAATACGAGAAAGGAAAACTATAAGCCAGTACAATTCTATGACTGTTGATGCAAAAATTCTAAATAACCAAATCCAACTATATATATATATACATATATATGAAGCATTATTAAGCTGGGTTTATATCAGGAATACAAAGTTGACTGAACATTAGAAAATTAATGTAAGTCAACACACTAACAGATTAAAGAAATTTTTTTCATCATTAACAGCTACAGAAAAAAAACCTTACAGCTAAACATCCACTCTTGACTTAATAGACAAACCAACCAACCCCCAAAATAACCAAAAAATACTTACCAAACAAGAAATAGAAAATGATTTCTTAGGGAGGAGGTTACAGCTCAGTGGTAGGGTATCTGCTTAGCATGAACAAGGTCCTGGGTTCAATCCCCAATACCCCATTAAATAATCAATAAACAAACAAACAAATAAATAAACCTAATCACCACCCCCTCAAAAAAAATATTTTTAAAAGAAAATAATTTCTTTAGCTTGTTTAAGAATATCTACCAAAACCCTACAGAAAGTATTACTTTCTGGCATTGGAGCACTGAAAACTTTCCTGCCGACAGAGAACCAGGCAGGAGCGCCCGGCTCTGCACTTCTCCACACCGGCTGGAGGCCGAGGGGAGTGGCCCTGTGAGAGAAAAAGAAGTAAGGGGAAACGGGAAAGGGGGCAAAACCATCATTCTCACACACAATATGAACACGTATAAAGAAGACCCCAAATAATCTGAAGATAAATGATCAAATACAAGGTCAGCAAGGTTACCGAACACTAAACCAAACCACACAAATCAGCAGCATTTCTGTATCAGCAACACACAGGTAAAGACAAAGACATGTTTTCAAAAAGCATCCTTTGTAACTACACAAACATGTGTAAGTGCCTAGCCGTAACCCTAGCAGAGCGCGCTTCGACGTCTGCCGAGAACGGCGGGAACTGCCGCGGACGCCCTACGGAAGAGGGCCTGCACGGCCGGCGGCTGCGGGCAAGCCGCGGGTTCCCAGCGGGCCACAGGGCCACGCGACGCCGACCGAAGTCGCAAGGCGGTGATCTTAGTCTTGTTTTTCTTACATAGTTTTGGTGCTGGTGACCCTCTTTACATTGTTTACTGTTTTAACCCAAAAAGATCATGTTTGAAGAGTATATAAAACATAAATGTACAGTTTATGTTAAAACTATAAGCTGGTTCATAAAAGAAACGCTGGTGCCGAGGTCCTCAGCGAGTGAGAACCGCTGGGCTGCCCTGGCTGCTCGCGTTTGGAGCGCGGATTCCCCGGGAGCAGCACCGAGGCCGTCCGGCCTCTGCGCCAGGTCGCGTTCCGGGCGCAGCTGCACGTCCACGCGGCCGGACTCACCGTGTTATAGACGCCCTCCACCGTCTCCGGGCCCTCCGTGGACCTGGCCACCACCTTCAGCCTTCCCGGTGAGCCCTTCTCCAGCTGCAGCACCTGGCGGGGGAAGAGCGCGGCGCCGCCGCCCACGGGTGGTCAGGCGTGCGCGTGCGTGTGTGCACGTGTGTGTGTGCGCGCGCGCTCAGGTGCGCGGCTGGGCGGACGGGAAGCGGGCCCTCAGCGGGCGCGCTCTGCAGGCAGAAGTGAGTTAGCCGGCGGGAGGCGCCCTCCCAGGTGTCGGCTGAGGGGTCGCGGGGACCCAGGCCCTTCCTGGGAGCGGAAGTGGGCCCGGAAGGTGGGTGGGGGCTCCGTGCTGTCTGGAGAGGGGCTGGAGTGGAGGCGCTCCCACACGTCTCCACGCCCCCGCCCAGCGGCCCCGTTGGACAGGACGGGGGCCAGCCTGGCTCCGACCACAGTGCCCCTCCGACCCTGACAGCAGGGTCAC